TCCACATAGGAGAGTAATTCATTACATGTCCATTTTTCGAATGTGCCTAACACTGGCCAAGTGAGGTGACTTCTCAATTCTTGTCCTCCCCAAACGTCCACACAGTAATGAATCAATTTTGCCTTGGATTTTCCCTTTCTCTGGGGACAATCTTCCCAGTGTTTTAACATCCAACCCAAGGGGCTCTCCAGGGGGATGTCTAGTGATCCCTCCCCCTGATCGGAGGGGCTTTTCCCTGTGGTCTTTTTCTGAAGCTTACTCTTTTTCTGCCCCATATTTTGTATATATAGAATTTCTTACCAGTCTTCGACTCCTCTGTGAGTCTGTTTCTGTTTCTGCGTTGTGACTTTTTTCGCGCTTACCCGAGGAATCAAACTTTGCCAATACTCACCTTTCAGCGAGCTGAGCTGAGGTCTCTTGTAATTGGCACTTTGATCCTTTTCTGGACCTTTACCTTGATCCGTTAACTAAAAGGGTTTACCAGTTCCCAAGCTCGACAGGACGTATCCTTCCCCTTTTAGCCCCTTGTGATCAGTCCCCCAAGACGCCCCTTCGTCTCAGGTTTTTACAAGCGTGTTGAGAAAAAGCTTTCACTCTGGATCGCTTCCTTCGCGGCCGGCCAATTCCCTCGCGGGAGGATGGAAACGCGGCCTTGAAGTCCACACTCGCTTCGTGATCAGATCACGTCTCACACACTCGCCCAATCACCCACTCAACCAGCAGTACTTACAGCTATTTTCCTGCGTGGGTGTCTTTGTGCACAATAGACGTTTTATGAGCAAAGCAAGCCGCGGCTTTCCGAAGGCTCCATGCCTTCCCGAGCTCTCTACCCCGGATCCGTTTCCCTTTTACTGTGGTTTATCTCAGCCTAAATTTAGTTCGGATGTCGGAACGAGCTACGGGGGTTCTCAACTCACCAGGCCGCCAAAATCAGTGGGGGTACCCTTCCTGGGCAGTGAGATTCCCGCGCAGTTTCTCCGATCCGAGTCACGGCACCAAATCTGTTATAAATGCAATAGCAAAATAAGGTTAATATAAAAAGCAATTTATTATAAAGCAATTTCAATCATAAGCAACGAGAGAAAAAAACCACAATAAAATAAATCAGCGCAGCGCCGGGTGGACAGGGGTCTGCACCCAGAGGTACAGATTTTCCCAAATCCACGAAGGAGGGATTGCAGTCCGGGGTTTTTATAAGGATTTTCGTATCCTGAGGCAAAACCCGGAGTGGGTACAGTCCAACAAAGAGTCTAGATGTGCGGTTGAATAGATTTCCCGGATTCTTCGAGCTGAGTCAATAGTCAACTGGGCAGAGTCCTTTCACATGCGAATGGTTCTGGGTGCCTTCTGATTGCATCTTTTGGTTGGACTCCCGGGGTGGAGTGTCCAGGTTGGGTGCGAAGCAGATGGATATCTCAGTCGGGGCTACTCTCATTGTCTGGCTTGATTGTCTGTGTCCTGCTCTTTATCTCGGGCTGATAAGCGTCGCTGTGGATCGTTACCGCCTGACTCGGGAAGGAATCTTTAGATCATACTGTTGCCACCTGTTTGTTTGATGTTTGTTTGATGTTGTTAAGTTTAAGTTGGTTTGCCCCAGTTGCTCCCCTGTTATCCCTGAATGGTTTGTCCCTGGTTCTCAATCATTGCAAGCCCTTCCCCTTTTTCCAGAGTGTTCCCCATCCAACACCTTTATCCTGCCCCCGAGCCCTATCAGTCAATGTAAACCCCGCCTTTTGTTCTAGTCCCTTCCCTGCTCATCACCCTTTCCTCAATGCCCCATTGCCTGTACAGCTGCCGTCCCTCCCCTGCGTCCCTACAATTGGTCCTTAATATTGTATCCCACTCCCCCAACTCCTCCCTCACGGCCTTCCCATTGGTTGATATTCTGACCGCCCATTGTCCTTATAACCCGATGCACAGAGGTGCTCGGAGAGTCTCGGCTCAGAGTTCTTCCCGTGGTCCCAGCTCTGACCCCTGTCCAGCTCCCTGCTCCTACAAATAAACTTGTTCCTGGGAAGCAGAAGAAACTGAGTCCTCTCAGATCCTTTCGCCACGACCGCTGACACCCTGAGAGCTACAGAGCCCGGTGTACGTAGAGCTCTGGAGGTTCCACGCTGGGAGACACAGTCCCCACGTGGTTCCCCACTCCTGGCACTGCCATCAGCCAAGAGCTAGCCGGAACACCAGGGGCTGGAGAGCGGGCGGTGTCATCATACTACATTTTATATCTTTACATTATTATAAATATATATTTCTTTATTCTCCTTCACGAATTTTTATCCAATGCCACATTTATCACACCGGCATCCCCAAATTCGGGGTCCCCCCCGCACTCACTGGGCAGGGCTGGGGCCACCCCCAGGGCAGCGGCCCCCACCAGCCACAACAGCGGTGACAGCAATGGGGGGGCCCTCCCGAGGCCCCCCCATGGCCGGGACAGTAGAATGTTGTCACCATAAGGTGCCTTCTTGGCTAAAATACCTCGTGTTGTGTGATGCTTGTTAAATATCAATGTTGTTGTACCAGCCTTGTTAATGCCACCTGGCCTTGTCTATTGGCTCTGCTGCTCCCGGCACCCCTCAATGGCAACCGATGACAGCACCCAGTGTGTAGATGAGCCGAACTCCCATGGGTGGTAGCACCCAGGAGAAGTGGAATTAACATCTAAAGACCCCTATAGAATCAGCGAGCCATGGAACAAAACCAGATTCCAAACTATGTTGAGGAACAAGGGAGAACATTGCACAACTTACTGATTTTCCAGACCTTGTTGCCATAACTAAACAACGCTTGCTATCCATGACTACCCTAGATTTACAAGGAACCAGCGTTTTCCTAGGGACTCTTGTGAGGATGGAAGCCCCAGCTCTGCCATGTGGCAAAGCTGAACATCTCCTCCTCTGGGTTGTCCATTGGGAGCAGCAGTGGTTGAGCTCCCCCACCTAGAGCTGATCTCAATAAAGGCATTAAAAAGGAGCTGGTCTCCTTGCCTATTCTTTTCAGGATTACGAAGATGTGGAGGAGGAAAGTGCTGGGATGGAGAAGAAGTTTTTCCTGAGGTAATGGAGGAGGAAAAGATTTTCCTGGGATAATGGGGGGGTGAATGGGGGGGTGAATGCGGGGGTGTGACGAAGATCCCGGGAAGGCAGAGGAGGGGGATGATGATCCCGGGATAATGGGCAGGAGGAAAATCTCGGGATGAGGAAAAGGAGGAGGGGAGAAAGATCTCGGGAGAAGGATGGTGGGGATGGGATGAAGGTTCTGGCATCACAAAGATTTTCCCGGGATTTTCCGACTGCACTCGAAGCGGGGAGTGGCCAGAGGGGGAGGGGAGGGACAGGGGGACCCTGAAATGGGACCGGGGACTTGGGGATACTCCCGGGCCTCGGGGCAGGGGTGTCACGTGTGTGTCCCTCTTGTCACCCGCACTGTCACCTGCGTGTCCTCGTGGCCCGCTCCTCGCCCTTTACCCGGGGTTGTGCAACCGGTGTCACCTTTGTCCCCTCTTTGTCCCCTTTGTCCCCTCCCTCCTCCTCCCGGCCTGGGGCACCCGCAGGGGACACGGGGACAGGATGGGAACAGTCCGAGGGTGGCACAGGCTCGGGGACAGAGAGGGGACAGTGAGGGGACAACGGGGGGACATGGGGACAGGGTAGGGACGCTCCCCACAGCGTCCCCAGGGTGTCGCCATGGTGTCACCTCCCTGTCCCCGAGTCTGTGAGACCCTCGGACTGTCCTCAGTCCTGTCCCTAGGCTGTCCCCTCCCTGTCCCCAGAACGGTCCGGGCAGAGGCTTTGGGCTCCACCCTCGCCCTTTGCGCCGCCTCTGCCCCTGTTTAAAATGTTCCCAGATTGTCCCCAGGTGTCCCCAAGTGCCACCATGGCTCCTGTGCTGGTGGCCCTGTTAGCGCTGCTGGCGCTGGCACTGCTGGCGCAGCTGTCGCGACATCGCGCGATCGCAGCCCGACTCCCCCCGGGCCCCCCCGCGCTGCCGCTGCTCGGAAACCTCCTCCAGGTGTCCCCGTTCCGCACGCTGCAGTCCCTGCTCAAGGTGGGAACTTGGGGGCTTTTGGGAAAGCTGGGGTTTGGGGATTTGGGGAATTTTGGAGAATTTTGAAGTTTGGGGGATTTTTTTGACATTTTTTTCGGTATTTTTGAAGGCTTTAAAATGGTGTTTTAGGGGTTTTTAGGGAGTTTTGGGGGTAGTTTTAGGGGGGTTTGGAACCCCCCTGCACCTACCAGATTCTGCTCAAGGTGTGAATTTTGGAGAAATTTGGGGATTTGGGGAATTTCTGGGAATTTTGGGGCGTTTTGGGGTGATTTGGGGCTTTTTTCCTCCTGGAATTTTCAGAATTTTGTGGGATTTTTGGGGGGGGGGGGGGGGGGGTTGGGGGACTCCAGCGACCCCGGCAGTTCTGGGCACTGCTCAAGGTGGGAATTTTGGGAATTCTGGGGATTTTGGGAGATTTTAAGGGAATTTGGGGAGGTTTGGGTGGGTTTTGATGGAATTTGGGTCCATTTAGGGCAAATTTTGTGGGATTTGGGTGAATGTGGGGGGATTTTTATGGTTTTTTTATGTATTTTTTTAGATTTTTATGGGATTTTTGTCAGATTTTTGCTGTCCCTGACTCTGCTGACCCCTCTCAGCTGAGTGACCGGTCTGGGCCAGGGACTGCTGTGCAACTGGGACCAGTTTGGGTTCATTTAGGTCGATTTTGGTGCCATTACCTTAAATTTTGCCGAATTTTAGTGGGATTTTTGTCAATCTTAATGGGATTATTTTTAATTTTAATGGGATTTTAAAAAATATTAATGGGGCTTTTGTGGGGTTTTTGATATTGCTGACCCTGCTGACCCCTCCCAGCTGAGTGAACAGTCTTGCCCAGTGTGCCCAGATTAGCTGGACTTGATTTGGGTCAATTTTGATGGGATTTGGGCCAATTTTGATGGGATTTGGGTGAATTTTACTGTATTTGAATGTGATTTTAAAAAATTTTCATGGGATTTTTGTGGGGTTTTCACTGTCCCTGACCCTGCTGACCCCTGGCAGCTGAGTGACCGCTACGGGCCAGTGTTCACAGTGTGGCTGGGCCCCCGGCCAGTGCTGGTGCTGTGCGGGACCCGGGCTGTGCGTGAGGCGCTCGTGGGGAACCCCGAGGTGTTCGCAGGGCGTGGGCAGATGCCAACCCTGGAGAGCACCTTCAGGGGATATGGTGAGAGCCAAAACCACCCCAAAAATATCCCAAAAATACCCTAAATCCACCCCAAACAGGCCCCCTAAAAACCCAAATCGACTTCAGAAACCCCCCAAAATTATCCCAAAGCCAAAAAAAACACCAAAAATACCCCAACACGATCCCCAACCCCCCCAAAAATACCCCAAAATGCACCAAAAAAATACTCCCAATTATCCCCAAAAATCAGCCAAAAGGATCCCCAAAAATACCCCAAAACCATCCCAAAATTTTCCCAAAATTCATCCCCCAAAAAACCCCCAAAAAATCACAAGACCACACAAAAAAAAAATCATTCCAAAAAATCCCCCAAATCACCTCAAAGTTATCTCAAAATTTATCTCAACACCAAAAATACCCCAAAACACCCCAAAATGACCCCAAAATTCATGCCAAACCCACTCCAAAACCATCCTCAAAATACCCTGGATTCCCCATTTTCCTTGATTGTCCATGAATTTAACCCAAATTTTCTGAATTTCTGCCCCTTCCCAATGGATTTTTTTCCTATTTCCATTGTTTTTCCCCCATTTCCCCTGGATCTTTTCCACATTCCCTCAATTTTCTTCCCTTTCCCAATGTTTTTTTCCCCATTTCCTATGAATTCTTCCCCATTTCCCAGAGATTTTTCTTCCCCTGATGCATTTTCCTGATTCACATGAATTTTTCACCATTCCAGGTGTGATTTTCTAGGATGGGGAGCACTGGCAGCAGCTCTGGCACTTCTCCCTGACAGATTTACCACTCTTTTCCATGGATTTTTTCCCCATTTCCAATTTCTGCCCTTTCCCATCGACTTTTCCCCATTTCCCAATGGATTTAACTCAAATTTCTGCCCCTTCCCATGTATTTTTCCCCATTTCCCCTCTTCTCATGGATTTCTCCCCATTTTTTTCCCATTTCCCATTGTTTTTAACCCCACTTTCTTCCTAATGGATTTTTCCCAATTCCCATAGATTTTTCCCCATACCAGGTGTGGTTTTTGCGGATGGGGAGCGTTGGCGGCAGCTCCGGCGCTTCTCCCTGATGGTGCTCCGGGATTTTGGGATGGGCCGCCAGAGTATCGAGAGCCGGATCCAGGAGGAGGCCCAGGAGCTGCTCCACGAGTTCCAGAAAACCCAAGGTATCAAATTTTGGGGGACTTCGGAGGGTTTCAGGAGGTGGGAAAAATCATGGAAATTATCCCAAAAAATCAGCCAGAAAAAGCCACACCAGAATCAGGCCAAAATAGTCCAAAATTATTCTAAATTATCCCCAAAAACACACTGAAATCAGCCCCAAATTGCCCCAAACTCCAGAAATCCCACCCCCACAAATTATTGCAAAATTCATTCCAAAAAACCATGTCAGAACCACCCCAAAATTATGCCAAAATGATCCCAAGAAATTATTACAAATCCACTCCAGAATCAGCCCAAAATCATCCCAAAAAACCACATTGGAATCTGCTCAAAATCCTTCAAAATTGCACCAAATCAGCCCAAAAACTGCACCAAAATCAGCCCAAAATACCCCCAAATGATCCCAAAATATAATCCCAAAAAATAGCTCTAAATCACCCAAAAAATAACCCTAGACCCCCCCAAACTATCCCCAAAATACCTTAAATATTCCCCAAAATCCCCCCCAAATGACCCCAAAACCACCTCAAAACCACCCTGAAAATATCCCAAAATTATCCCAAAACTCATCCCTAAAAACCCACACTGGAACCACCCCAAAAATCTTCCCCGAATCCCCCAAAACCACCCCAAAATTATCCCCAAAATCACCTCTAAAATAGCTAAAAGTGATCCCCAAAAAATCATCCCAAAAAACTGAAAACCACCCAAAACCCACCCCAAAAATCCCCTCAAATTATCCCAAAATTATTCCTGAGGTACCCCAAAATTATCCCCAAAAAATCATCCCAAAACCACTATGAAATTATCCCCAAAAATATTATTGGAAAAATCCCAGAAAAGTCCTAGAAAACCCCCAAACCATTGGATATTTCGCCAAATCCCTCAGGGTTTTCAGGTTTTGGGGTCGTTTTGGGTTGATTTTTTTGGATGATTATTTTTGGGGGATTTTTGGAGCATTTGGGATTGGTTTTGGGGTAATTCCATGTGGCTTTTGGGATCATTTTTTGGGATTGTTTTGGGGTGTTTTGGGGTTTTTTGGAATGAATTTTGGGATATTTTAGGGTGGTTTGGGGTTTTTAGGATGATTTTTTTGGGATCATTTGGGGGATTTTTGGATCAGTTTTGGGGTGATTTTGGGATGATACTAGTCCATTTTTTTTGTGATAAATTTTGGGATCAATTTGGGGTGGTTTTAGGTGGTTTCTGGGTGGCTTTTAGATGGTTTTGGGTTTTTAGGATTATTTTTTGGGATAATTTTGGAGAGTTCTGGGGTTGATTTTGGGACATTTTTGGAGAAGCTTTGGGGTGATTTTAGGGTAAATTTGGGATGGTTCCAGATGATTTTGGGGATCATTTTGGGGTGGTTCCAGTGTGGATTTTTGGAATGAATTTTGGGATAATTTGGCAGTATTTTGGGACCATAAAACCCCAAAAACGCTGGAATTTTTCCCAATTTTCCCAGGAAAACCTTCAATCCCGTGTTCCTTCTAAGCTACGACGTGTTCAACATCATCTGCTTTATCCCAAAGAATTACCCCAAATCCATCCCAAAACTACTCCAAAATTATCCCAAAAAGATGTTTTCTTGGAAAAATCCCAGAAAAGTCCCCAAAATGCCAAAATTTCCTCCAAATTTCCCAGGAAAACCCTTCGACCCCACGTTCCTGCTGAGCTGCGCCGTGTCCAATATCATCTGCTCCATTGTTTTCGGGAATCGCTTCCAGTACCAGGATCCTGAATTCCTGGAGCTGCTGCGTCTCATGAACGAGAGTTTTCGGGAGATGAGCACAGCCTGGGCACAGGTGTGGGATTTCAGGAATACTGAGCAGATTTGGGGGAATATTTTGGGAATTTTTGGGGGGATTTTTTGGGGGGATTTTGAGGGATTTTGTGGTGTCCAATCACTCAGATTCCCAAAATCCAGAATTTTTGGAAGTGACAGAAACTCTGGAGAAAGGAGTTCTAAAAAGTCCTAAAAAGGAGTTCTTTGGTGAAAGCAGGGAAATTTGGGGGATTTTTGGGAATATTTTTGAACTATTTTTGAATTTCTGGGGAACGTTTTTTTTTGGGCAATTTTGAGGGATTTGGGGTTTTTTGGGATGTGATTCATAAATTCCTGGAGCTGCTGCACATCATGGACAAGAGTTTTAGGGAGATGAGTGCAGCCTGGGTGCAGGTGCATGATTTTGGGGAACTTTTTGGGAATTTTTTTTTTAATTTTGGGAATTTGGGGGATTTGGGAGGGATGGGGTTAGGAGTGACTTGGAGAAATTTTTGGGGTATTGGGAACAGTTTCAATTCCCAAAATCCAGAATTTTCAGAGTTGCAGGAAATGATGAAGAATTTTTAGGAGTTTTGGGGTGAAAGTAGAGAATTTTGGGGAATTTTTGAGAATTTTGGGGGGTTTAGGAGAGTTTTTGGGAATGACTTCAGTTCCCAAAATCTGGAATTCTTGGAATGTTTTGAGGATTTAGGATTTTTTGGGATTTAGGGGCAAGATTTTGGGGTTTTTTTGAGTGTTTTTTGGGGGAAGTTTTTGTGATGATTTTTCTGGATTTTTTTGGTTTGTTTTGGGGAGTTTTGGGGATGGTTTCTGGGTAATTTCTTGAGAGTTTTGGGGGTGTTTTGTTGGTGTTTCAGGTGTGATTTTAGGGCAGTTTTTGTTTTTTTTGGGGGGTGATTTTTGGGTGTTTTGGGGCTGTTTTAGGTCAGGTTTTGGGGAGTTTTTTGGGATGGTTTTAGAATGGTTTTGGGTGATTTTAGGGTTGGTTTTAAGGTGTTTTAGGATGATTTTGAGGTATTTTTGGGGTTTTTTTTGTGCTGCTTTGCGGTGTTTTTTGGGTTAATTTTGTTTTTGGGATGAATTTAGGATGGTTTTGGTGTTATTTTTGTTGTGTTTTTTGGGCATTTAGGGGTGATTTTTAGGGTGATTTTCTGGCTGGTTTTGGGATGATTTTGAGGTGTTTTGGTGGTGGTTTTGGGGAGATTTTTGGTGTGTTTTCCGTAATGTTTTTGGGGCAATTCTGTCATTTTGGAGTCAATTTTGGGATTTTTGGTGTCCTCAAAGATTGTCCTGTGACACTTCTTCTGCAGTTCGTCCGCACCTGCTGGGGAGGATGAGGAGCTCAGGGCATTTTGGGGTGATTTCAGGTTTGGAGGTATTTTGAGGGTGTTTTTTTT